TGAAGATATGTTTGTATAATATTAGTAAGTTTAAATTTCTTGCTCTGTTTTCAACCACATAACAACAATGTTTTATATAGAAGAAGATGGAAAAGATGAGAAAGAAAGTGAGGAAGATGAAGAGGAAGAGGAAGAGTATAACGAAGAAGCAAAAAGTAAAGATGATAACAGACATGAAAAATTAACAATGCAGATGAAGAGAAGAAATATGAAGAGTAAGAAACGATGAATGTGAAGAGAAATACAAAGACATAGGTGTTGGCATAGGTGTTGGCGGCCAATTGAATATGAGAAAACAAGAATGATGATGATTCTTTTGATAAAATTTTATTCTTAAATACTATTGATTTTTAGAATTGTGCATTTGAAATGAAAATTTTGCTTTAATAGTAATTTAAAAACTATCATCAATCGGATTTAATTTTCACAAAAAATATATCAAATAAACCCACGCGTAGCGTGGGTTCAAAACCTAGTTTATTAATAACCAATTCTTCAAAAGTGTCTTTAAATAAATAAACGAACCGGCCAGGCGAACATTTATTCTAATTTATACTTTTTGAAGTACATTTTTAACGGGTGGGGCAAAATGCATTTAGATATAATGGGTATCCGATCCGTTTAAAAATTTTGGTCATAAAAAGTTTATTGGGTCGGGTTATATTTAACTCAACTCATACACCAGATATTTCATATTTAATAATTTAAATATTTAGAAGATTTGATTAAGATTTAGAATTATGATTCTCCTATCATCTTTGTTTGATTTGTCTTTTAACTGTTTTGAATCATCATATAATACATAAAGTAAAAAAAAAATGTATATACTGTGATTCAGAATTTAAAAATAGACATATATTATCTAATTGACGAAAGATGTGTTTAACGTTCCACATCGACTAAAATATTTAGACAATGATTCAGAATCATATCATAAATAAGATCAACATTAATAAAATAAATGAGTTTTTTTGCTGGACGAGTTTGGCATAACAGGATTTTGAATCAACAATAATAAAAAATTTAAAATATCATTAATCCGCTGCTTTAATACGGATTAAATCTTTAATTTTTTTAATACCACCAATATTAAATATATCAAATTAGTCTCATTTAGAAAAGATTGTATAAAACCAAAAATTGTCTCGTGGTATAATGTTACATAATAACAATTGTAAATTATAAAATATAAATGTCTTAAAGAATGATACAATTTGCAAACTTTTATATATTTTTAAAATTACTATTTTTAGAAAATCTAATCACGGGACGGATTAAAAAATTACAGGACGAGTTATATTTCGGAACAAGGTTATATGGCGGACGAGTTTGAATCAATATTTATAAAATTTTAAAATATCATTAATATTCTGCTTTAATACAGATTAAATCCTCAGTTTATTAAAATATAAATGTCTTAGGAAATAATATAATTTGTAAACTTTTATACATGATAAATAATCATTAAATCACTACTTTTAGATAACAAATCATGGGACGGGTTAAGAAATTACGAGACGAGTTATATTTATGAATGGGTTTACATGGCGGACGGGTTTGAATATTTATAAAATTTTAAAATATCATTAACATGTCACTTTAATACAGGTTAAATCTTCAGTTTATTAACAATTGTCTCGTGGTATACCGTTACTTAACAACAATTATAAACTATAAAATATTTATATAATTTACAAAATTTTATATATATTATCTTTAAAAATAAATTACACCGCGGTACACCGCATGTTAAAATCTAAAAGAAGTGGAGAAACCCATGAAAAAATTGTAAAGTAGACAAATAACTCGAGAAATACATTAGAGAAAAACTCGATTTATTGAAAGAAAAAAGTGAAATAAGTTTAGTTGACCAAAATTCCCTAAAATTGCGGGAATGAAAAGGACAAGGGAATAAGTATCTTTCACGTGGCAACCACTAACACTGCCCCCACCAACACACCCAAGCTTTGAAATAGCAAGGCCCACTAGCCCATTCGTTAAGGCCCATTTCCCGACCGTCAACGAGAAAACACTTACAAATTTTCTAATCTTCAACGTTTTTTTTGGGTAAGAAAAGGGAAACAAATGTCTCCCCCAATTTATTAAGAAAAAATTACAAACTACAAACGAACATCCTGTGAAAACGCAGTTCCACTAATATTCTCTAAAACAATTTGATTAATGAAATCCGGCATATCTTCCAATAAATGAAAACTTAGGGGTAAAGAAAACGCATAGTTCGCTAATCCGTCGACAAGACGATTAGCTTCCCTATACACGTGAGATATTCGGACTATCCAGTCCCACAAAATGAAGTCATAGCACAAACGTACTAGGAACGACAGCGGATGAGAATCACTTATCCCTGTCCTCAAAAAACCAACCACGATCTCCGAGTCCACTTCTAGCTCTAGCCTCGTGAATCCACACTCCCAAACTATATATAGACCATAGTACACTCCCCACAACTCCGCTAGAGGTGCCGAACAAACACCAATGTTCTAATCTTCAATGTTAGAACACAAAAACACTCTATTTTGTCTTTCACCAATTTGTCATGAAATTGTGAATATTTTTCTTTTTCTTAGGCTAATAAGAGAACCTTCATTTGGGTATTTTAGACTATCTCCAATAGTAGAAACCCATAAAAAGTTGTTAACAATATTTTTATTAATAATTTTTGCATCATTGGTAGTTAAGAACTTTTTTAGAAGATTTTATTATTTTTATTCTCTAATGGTAGAACTCCATTTTAGATTCTTAAGAATAAAATAATATTTTAGAATTTATTTTATTTTACAAAGAATTGTTTCATATAAATTTTGATAACTCTATTTTCACAAAGTTATGAAATTTGCCGATTTTGAAGATGACCAAAGTCAAAAAATAGATTTTATGGAAAGGTCATACATAACTAGAGCAAGGTAGTGTTGACTAATGCCTTATAATATACATGAAGAGAAAAATGAGAAGTAAAGCATCAACATAAGAGCAAATGTCTCAAATGCATTATTCTATTTTCCCTTTTCTATCTATAATAATTCTATATATTGGTATTCAACTTCTGTTCTATTATGGTCAAAAGAAGTAAAAAAATCACGAGGATGAAGAAAGCAACAACACATGCTAAAAGGTTTATATCATAGTTACATGATGAATGAACTAATTCGCAGTCTAAGTCATCATCAGTTGTTACCACTGAATCACTTCAACTTCTTGCAAGTCCCCAAATCCGGTTGGTTCCATTGTCACTTGCTGAGGCCAACATATGCAGGTCGTCGGGTTTCAGCTCACACACTTCACAGCTGATGTGTGCCCTTACAATTTAAAAGGTTCTAACGTTTATGTTTTGTGCCATATGTATACTTGCGACAACAGTGAAAGATCACTCATTTGAGCGAGACCGGGATATTCTAAGAAAGATATATACTTCTCTTTTTCTCCATCTCTCTCTTAATGTTGCTGTCAAAATTTGACAGAGCAAGAGTTTAAATTAAGATTAATCCAAGTTACATGAGCATCTTGGATTAACAAGTTCTTAACAAGTACTACATAAATCATAGATGACAAACAACAGAAGAACTACAAGAGAAGAGCATTTTTATTTATTGTTTATTAAAAATAAATAATAAAAATAATAATAATTTTATTTATATAGAAAACATTTTTTTGGGTCAAAATTGGGTTAAAATGGAGTAAAAGTTGATTAACCTCACCGTCGATTATGTTCTATCTGCCCAAGATATTCTGACACTTTTATCAGATTGGTTTACACCACTGACCATTCTGAAATAAGGTAGACCAGAGACTTCTTCCAGCCGACGAACAATGTTTGAAATCTAAAAGTCTCCATCAAAGAACTTGTCTGCTACCTTTTTTTCTACAAGTTCGGTCGACAGAATTTCTTTTTCATGACCATCTTTCCAAATTACTGAAACTATGCTGGTCTCACACTCCGTGATCAAAAACTCTTCTTCACCTTGATTTAGTACACATTGCTGGCCTATGAATCACCAAGCACTAAGAAACCGAATGGGTAACAAGAGGCGCACCTCTTTATTCAATACCTAAACGAGAGGTGGTTCGCTCCTGTCACCAAGTTCACCCTACGATTTTTCACAACTCTTTTATCTGCAGGTTTGAATAAGATTTTTTGTCCCTTATAGATGGATTGACAAAAAAAATAGAAGTATTCGCCAAACTCAAACTCTACATAAATTTTCGTAGAGATTAGAATTGTAAATAAGAAATAGTTCAAGGATTTTTGGCCAAAAACCTCCAAAAATGTATATATAAATAGAGAAAATGTTTTGATTATATTTATTACTATATCAAACTTTATTTGTGGTAATAAAAAAAACTTTATTTATCCGTTGTAGAATTTTATTTTTATAAAAGTTGCAAAGGATTTCTCAAAAAAATATAAGCCATTCATGTTGGACAGAGACCAAACGGATTCTTGATATTTTTTTACTATAAATTAAACTGAATACGTTTTATTAGACATGATCTATTTCTATGGCATATATATATATATATATATATATATATTATAAATAATTTAAAAAGATGTTTCTATTAATTAGTTATATATGCTACTAATACACTTTTGTCTCTTCTTTTTTTGTGTACAAAAAGTACACTTTGTTGTATACTATAGTCAAACTTTATTTCATTTCATAGCTTTCAAAAGTTTGGTCTAATTGGTTTGATCTATTCCTTAGTGAACAACCATCGAAGGTTATATTAATCTCTCATTCAGTTAACATTATTCGGTATAACCTTACTTCATTTTATTTCTCACATGATTTCTTCATAAAAGAGTAGGAGAGTTTGTCCAACAAAAAAAGGAGTAGGAGAAAAGAGACAATTACAATTAATTAAGAAAGAAACCATTTTGTTCAAAAAAAAAAAGGAACATTTTTATTCCAATCTTATTTATCCCAAAAAAGGACATTTTATTCCAATGCTAAAAATTTTAAGAACTAATCCAACGATTCATAACTATAACTACAATTAGTTTATTGATTATAGTTTAAACATACATAGCTTACCCCATCATCTTCTTTGTGAGCTTAGCAAGTGAAGTAAGGTTATACCGAATAATGTTATCAACAAAAAATTTCGTATCTTCTTCGCTATTTCCTTCCGGCACATCCACCACGTAACTCTCCACCACCACCGTCTTCTCTGTCACATCCTCGGGCGACGCGACCACCGTCGTTTTCGATTTGTAATTAACAAGTCTATGGTTACCGCCAATGATACTTATCACCATCACGTGAGACTCATCGTCTAGCTCTTCGAGCCTCTCCGTGCTGAAATCCGCCGGGAAGCCGGAGACTAACGTCACGTCCCGGACGGAGCCTTTTCCTTCTCCTCCTTTGCCGCCACCGCCACTGGAGCGCATGGTGCAACTTTTGACGAAACGTTGATAAGCTTGTGGTTTGTCGAAACTACGTAGGATTGACCACACTAGTGGTAATGGTGCTTCGATGGTCTCGACTACGCTAGAGTGACATCGTTTTTGCTTAGAACTTTCCATTTTCTGTTTTGTTTTTTAGATGGTTTTGTCTTTTATCGACGTATATATATTTTCGTGTCTGACTGTTGAATTTTCGTTTTCACTTGTTAAGTTTTGAAGCCTATCGAACGAACTACGTACATATAAGTGAAGGTAAACCACCGACTAAAATATTTTTATATTATTTTATTTTTCTTTAAAAAAAATTATTTTATTGTTTTTTACGAATTTGTCATGTAATATAAAACTTTCGAGTTCGATTCGTATTCTTCTTACTATATACTAACAAGTAACAAAAAGCATTTTTACAATTTAAAACTACACAAGTATATACTGCGTTATTAGTGAGAAATTATACGATCTTGTCGGCATATTTAAATTATTTTGTTTTTTGATAAAAGGCTTGCATATTTTGGAACTTGGTTTTATCAAAAATATTAACAAACCCTCCTGTGAAGGTTTTACTGACAAAAGTGATATGGAACTTGGTTTTAGCAAACCCTTTGTGAAGGTTTTTCTTTTGACTATATTAATCATTTAAACAGAGAGAGAGAAATATTCACGAAGAATTAAATATCTTACCAACTGATAAAATTACCAATAATATATAAAAATCTAGTCGGTCTATTTTGGAAATTTGTTGCAGCAATGTTTTGGAGCCAAAAATAGATAGATATGTCATTCATTGCCCACGAGCTAAATACAGATGTCATTTAACCCGAAAAAGCACACAATGGAATTTAGCGAAACGCACACTTGTTTACAAACATAACAGTTTTTCTCTTATTCGGTTGCCGACGAGAAAAAAGAAAAAGAACCTATTTTTTCTTTCATTCATAAGTTTATTGTTCTAACTTCTACGTATCCAATCCGAGAGTCATGCAAGTTCTGCGTATCCAGGGTAGCCTGGTAGGCATATTCAATGTTCCATCAGCCTATTATTCTATTGCCTACTAAAAAATAAGGCCCAATAAGGCCCGTGTAAGCCCAAACTTAATGATTATATTGTCAATTTATATATGCTTCACCCCACAGAGCACAAAAACTCATTTCTGGTTTGGCTTTGGTTTTATGTTTAGCCTTCCTAGACTAAGATCATGTTATCTTCCGGTTTTGTTTATATAGTTATTTGTTTAACCGCTGGCATTGTGTATCCCCCATCTCCATGGTTATATAAAAAAAATGTTTTAGATAAAAAAAAAGAACTCAAAATAAATGTAATGTGTAAAGATATGAAATAAAATGTTATAGATTTTCATAAGTGGATTATAAAAATAAAAATAAATTTCAAACTAAAAATGTGTAAAGATATGAAGTAAAATATAATAGACTTTCGTAAGTGGATTATAAAGATAAAAATAAACTACATGGAATACATTATATTTGGATTTATGTATTAAAATATATGACTTAATCAACTTATAAAATTCATATTCTTCTTCTTAGATATCCTTCTCGAGAAACATGGACATGACTATTTTAAAGTCCAAGCATATATGGGAGCTCAAGCTGAGATATTCATATATTGTTTGGCTCACGATCAAAAACAGATTCGCAAGTTTGGTATCTCTCAAACTTGTTTTCTTTATGGTAAGCAAGATGAAACCAATGACCATATATCGCCTGCCTGTGCATAACTGCATATATTGCCTTGTTGCATGAAGCAAGTATATCACTCCCATATGGTGTGATACGGTAAGCCACTTCTCCACTCATATCTTTTCTATCATGAACTATATATATATGTTCTGATCCGATTGGTTTTTCAAGCTCGATTTTATCATGTGTGGAGGGAGAAAAATGGAAGGCGACACAAAAAGATCGCCATCCTCTGAACAATTTTATCAGCGTCATTGATAAATCATTTCACAACCGTATCACATCTTTTCTGTGTTATTAAGGATAAAACAAGTTCGAAGAATGGAAGCTGTTCTAACGACGGGAGTTCACTACCTTGTGTTGATAAGAAAATCATTTAATTGAATGTCTACTTATCCGGTGGTCCAACATAAAAGGATACGTCAATATTTCATGAATTGTTTTTTTTTTTTTTTATCTAATGTTAAATTATATTCAAAAGAAAAATATCGTTTTTACAACTAGTGTTGATAAGCAACTACAAGTATGACAGATTAAAACTTCCGGTTTGTAACTAACCGATATTTCCAAACTCATGAATAACATATACTAGTATATAAAGAAACAGGGCAATATGGAATCATACAAAAACAAGCTTATCCTAAAACTCATGACTCCAAGCCATCATTATTAAAAAGTACTATATATGCTCTATGGCTAATATACAGCTAGCTAGAAACACATATCTACATTAATTTAGGTATAACTAAAGTTCAAATTCTGTGACATATATGTACATGAGTACATCACTACATATAGCCTCTCTCCGGAATCTAGGGTTTCGGAAACACTTTCTACCGACTCGATCGTTTTAGCTTGATAAATTGCCGGTTCGATCCTAATTTCGTTTTGCTACATAAATCCTGATTTGGTATTGCTAATTCGAACTGGTTTATTTTTCCGTCTATTAAGAACTACTTGAGCCGTTATGTTAAAATCTTGAGCTGTTTCTTTACATTATTGGGCTAAACCTTGTAATCTAGTTCCCCATATCATGCTCCCAATAGACAATAATTATAAAATAAAATATAAGTACATATTTGTATACGTGTGCATAAATAAAAGTAATGCTTAATTGTATATACATGTAGTGTAAGAAATATTATTTACTTGTGCATTCCAACATGTGTACCGGCCAGTGTATGTTAATACATCATGATACATGCAACGTACAGAAATGTTATGTCAATTAAATACATTCACAGTTGGGACACACTCTAACTAATAACAAAAAAAAAACTACATTTCAAAGATATACCCTTATTCATATGCAATATTTTTTTGTCAAAGCTTATTCACATGCAATTTTGAGTACCAAATTAGTATATAAATATATATATACACACACGCATTAGGGTAAGTGACAATAGAAAATCAGGAAGATTTGATAGAATCAATCACTATTATTAATTCGATCTTTTGAGTTTTGTAGTCTAGATATCCAGAGAGAATAATTTCAATTAGAAAAAGATCATACGAAACTTTAAATTAAAAAAAGAAAGAGAGAATTGAAAATTGATTACCTATATTGGAAAATTTTAAAATATGATTAATTATCAAGTGGACGACTGATTAGGAGTCGAAGAGTTTGCAACATCCTTCTTGATAACAACGACGTCGTTTTTAGTCTTCCTCCTCTTCTTCTTCCTGTACGGAATCCCACGAGCCTTGGCTTGAGATTCTCTCACTTCCCTCAAGTGAACCCGGATAGACCCGTTTGCAAACGGGTTAGCATCAGGTGACCCGCCACCGTGTTCCTCGTAAGCAGCTCTTAGCCGTCCGATCAAAGCATCTAGGCTTCCCCAAGCTTGTTTGAGAGGACACGTGCACGGACCTGGTGGATCGGGTTGTCCGAAGAAGACACAAGCTTGATGATGTACTTTGGTCTTACCAAACTGATCTAAGTACCTTAGGAAACTTAGCACGTGCGTGTAGTCGAACTGAGACATCATCAACGGTGGATTTTGTGATTTTAGGTATTGGATGAACGTGTTCCAATCGCGGCGTTTCTGCGATTCGTAGCGGCTGAGTGGTTGCTGCGGCTGAGGAGGAAGTGGTTGCTTGTGGTGGTTGGAGGAAGAGGACGGATGATCCGGTGGATCTTTCGTCGGTGTGTGACGATCCGAAGACATTATTAGGGGAATTCTAATTTTTGTTTGTTTGTTTGTTGTTTTGGTATTATATTTTTGGTTTATGAGCAAATTCAAGGTTTAAAAGCAACAATAAAGTAAGGGAAAGAAAGAGAGAGATACTGAGAAATAAATAATGGAACGGGGAGAGAATTATTCACGAAAAAATGATTACTATGTATATATATAAGATAAGTGACAATAAATTTCTATCATTTCATGCGAATACTAAAATCTTTATTTTATGTGCCTACCAAAAAAAAATCTTTATTTTATGTAAGAATTTCAAAACTATGCATAATGTCACTAACTTACTAAATCAAGTATATATTTTTTCAGTAATGATGAATTAATTATACCGTTTTGTTTTTAAAACTTAGAGCATCTCCAATGGTGAGAAACTATGGAAGTTTCTCAAATATAATAATTTAATGCTTTTGTAATAAATAAATTATTTGTTTAAATTTTAATTAATTAAAAAAAAATTTAATCAATCAAATGTTGCCAAGTGTTAGACACAGTTTCTCAAATGAGACACTGTGTCTCATCCTCTCTCTTACTTTTAATTTTTTTTTTTTTTATTTAATTCTGTAGACATTCTTTGAGACACTCCGTTGGAAGTGTTCTTAGTGTTTAGTTTTCTACGTACGTGTCTTAAGACTCTTAACAAAAAAAAATTGAAAATCAGATATAGCACTCAGTTATTTTCTTATTTTAGCTACTAAATTAATTTCTTATTTTAGCTATAATGACTAATTAAGTACCATGTAACTCTACATAAAATTATTAAATAGTGATCTATTTACAACAAAAACTAAAATTTAAAATCAATCGTTATTTGACTAAAATAAAATCAATTATTATTAGAGGTTTTTTTTTTGTCTTACTAATTTTTTTAAATAATGTGAATGCTCTGTTATTTTCGTAGACAACAAAATTTTATTGTAGGAGATCTATTCAATGAGATTTTATCCTATTTTCATATATTTGATTATATATTATGTTTGTATTTTGTTAATGTTATGTTCACACATTACTTTCTATGACTTGTTTTGTCATCATCCAAGAAAAATAGTTTATCAAGGACGTACACAAAACAATTCAATATCGACTTTGTAATAATATACACTACAAATTAATTAGTACACATTATTATTATATAGAGCAAAAGGAGAGAATATATTTCAATGGATGGGACCCGTGAGAAGGTGCTTTCGTTCCTTTTATAAATTTATTCTAAAGGATCAAAATTTGTTATTTTATTTGGTTTTTTAATTATCTTTTTTGGTCACTGATGTGGCTAGCTATTTAATTTACACACTGTTATGATATACTCTTCCTTTTAAATTCCTTAAGAAAATATTAGTTTAAGCTATCCATTGTACGACTAGCAACCAAATCAATCATTATAAGTTTTCATAATGATTTATTAATTAATTTTTCCAACTTGCTTAATTTAGTGGCTATTGTTGAATTATGTGGCCTATTACATCTATAACTTTATACATAAGAAATATATAGATAATAACTATAATTATAATAATTACAATAATAACGTTGATAAATGATGATGACTGTCATCATCCTACTCGTAGCAATAACCATTAACAATAGATTAGTAAGTATTATACCTACTAAGTTTATTTTCTCCTTTATATTTTTGAAAATCCAACGGTATTCCAATTTGTGATGATTCCTATAAAAGTGCTTTTTCATATACGTACGTGAAGTGAAAAAATAGTGACACCATATTCATATATTACTAGATACTTTGTAGTTTGTATATACGTGGAATATTAACTATAATTACATATCTTTGACGATACATTGAGTGATATTGCTTAAGCATAAATGTGTCTGAAAGTGGACGACGCATAATATATAGGTTTCCATTATCTTACCCATGAATGTTGAAAAGGACAAAACAATCCTCGGTCTTTTCTTTTGATATTGCTTTGTAATTTTTAAGCTAGAATCAAATCACTATTGTGTACATGTTCGTGAAATTAACTTTTGAATTGATGACTGATATATACAAAACTTAAATAGAAGATAACTACTAGTCTACTATAAGGTAACCCTACTATAATGTGTTAGTGTATAGCTATGGTTTCTCACGGACATGAAGTACTAGTTCAACGAATAAGTTCGAAGACAGAAATACATAAAAAGCATGAAAATAAGGAAATAAAAGAGAAGACATAATAATTAAAGACAAGCATATTATTTGATACACGCATTTAGTACCCTTTGTCGGGAATAAAAATATTGCAGCCGGTGAAATCTAAATTCTGGTAACCGGAGAACAGGAATCCGACGAGAAAAAACCCTAAGTAAAAAGCATTTTTAGACAAGATTTTGTAAGAGAAGATCTTGTATGTGGGGTAATATATCTTTCGATATACTTTTGTCACAACATCAATAGAAATCCACTCGATACAAAAACAAAAGATAAAATAGGAATAAATAAAAATTCACGTGGGACTTGGGTCCATCTGTTTTTTCACCTGTGATCATATCTAATTATCTATGGTATTATTTTGTAATTCTATTTTTTTTTTTGCCCTTAAGAAGAATGCCTTTTCTTTTGATAAGAGAGTTACAAGAATGTCTTTATATTGCAATTTTTTTCCTTTAGTTTGATACGAAATGATGGCGTAAGTCGTGACTAATAATCAATCATCTTTTAACTTAATAGAAAGAGAAAGCATTGGAATGAGTTTGCCATTTCCATTGTAACCCTTATTTGTTCAATAAACCATATAACATTTTCTAATGTGTTCTAAACTTCGAAACAAGTTTCTCTTTATTTTTTTGTTGTTGCTAATATTAATGAGGAAACAAAATTTTTTGTTATAATATGAGTGTTCGTTTGGTCTTCATCAAAGCCATAGATCAAAAACATAGAGAGAGCATGCCTCAATTTTCCAAGTGCAAATTCAATCATAGTTAACTACCGTGAGCGGTTTAAATGATAAAATACTCGACATTCGACAGTTTCTAAAAAATGGTAATTAGTTATAGCCCGCAATCATTCGGCTACATAAAAAATAAAAATAAAAATTCACCAGTTAAATTTATATTGTTATGAGAATAATTTGTTTGAATTCTCTTACCAAAAAAAATAAATTTGTTTGCCAATTTTTTAAAAAGAATAATAATTTGTTTGCCAACAAATTCTTATATATTATTATCATACTAGATTTTAACCCGCGGTATACCGTGGGATGATTTATTTTTAAAGTTAGTATAAAAATATTTTGTAAATTATATCTCTTTATAAATTATTTATTTATATTAAAGTTTACAATTGTTATTAAGTAACGGTAAACCACGAATCCACTAGACAATTGTTAATAAACTGAGGATTTAACCATATTAAAGCGGCATATTGATGACATTTATAAATATTGAATCAAATTCGTCCGCCATATAAATCCGTTCTGAAATATATCCCATTCCATAATTTTTTAACCCGTCCCGTAATTTATTTTTATTATAAAATTTAATGATTATTTATCATATATAAAAGTTTACAAATCATATCATTCTCTAAGTCATTTATATTTTAATAAATTGAAGATTTAATCTATATTAAATCGGCATGTTAATGATATTTCAAAATTTTACAAATATTGATTCAAACTCGTCCACCATATAACTTTGTTCCGAAATATAACCCATCCTGTAACTTCTTAACCCGTCCCGTGATTTGTTTTCTAAAAGTAGTAATTTTTAAAATTTAATGATTATTTATTATATATAAAAGTTTACAAATTGTATCATTTTTAAGATATTTATATTTTATAGTTTACAATTGTTATTAAGTAACATTATACCACGGGACAATTTTTGGTTTTATACAATCTTTTCTAAATAAGATTCATTTAATATGTCTAATATTGGTGGTATTAAAAGAAAAATTAAGGATTTAATCCGTATTGAAGGGGCGGATTAATGATATTTTAATCTTTTTATTATTGTTGATTCAAAAACCCGTCCCGCCAAACCCCGTCTGGCCAAAAAACTCATTTCTTTTATTAATGTTGATCTTATTTTTGATATGATACTGAATCATTGTCTAAATATTTTAATCGATGTAGAACGTTGAACACACATTTTCGTCAATTGGATAATATATGTCCGTTTTTAAAATTTCGAATCACAGTATATGCAGAAAAAAATAATTTTTTTTTTACTTTATGCATTATATGATGATTCAAAACAGTTAAAAATAAATATGAAATATTCTAGGAGAATCATAATTTTAAATCTTAATCAAATCTTCTAAATATCTAAATTATTAAATATGAAATATCCGGTGTGTATGAATTAGATTAAATATAACCTGACCTATGACCAAATTTTGTTAACGGATCGGATATTCAAAGTATCCGAAACAATTTTATCCATCCGACCCAAAAGTGACTGAAAATACTAGTATAGATTTTGTATTAGTTCGTGTAAATTAAGAGCCCATCAATAGTATAAGAAATAAGCTATTCAGGCTAGTAACTATAAGCCCAATTAAGGCCCATATACATGTTATTATCTCCGGCCCATACATAATTACGAAAAAAGTTATGGACGTAAAGAGTTTGTTTCTTCAACAATGAAAATGAGAAATTATCTGGAAAAGCTGAATCAAATGTACACACACATGAGACTGAGAATCTAACTTTAGGCTTCTCTAATTATGATTCATCAGAGACTTTAATTAGGTTTCAAAATTTTAATAAAGAAGAAGAGTCAAAGTGATTATATTAAATGGTCACAGCTTTTATTTTATTTATTAAGCTCTCGGGAGAGAGAAAGAAAAAGAGAAAGAGAGAGAGACAATGCCGTTGGTGAGGTTCAAGATACGGAACGAGCTAAGCTTAGGTGGGCCGGAGATTCAACGTAGCGCCGCCGTGGAAGATGAAGAACCTAAGGCGATTCTCGGCGCTGTTGAAGTGGCTGGACTCATCGGTATCCTTCGTCAGTTAGGCGATCTCGCTGAGTAAGTTCTTGTTTTCGACTGTTGCATACACAAAGAAGATTGAAATTTGGATACTTTACAAAAAGCCCTAAGCCCTGCAGCTGTTTCTTGTGATTAGGATGAGTTTTAGCTCATCCATCAATTTTGTCTTTAGTTTGAGAATTAGGGGTTTCAGTACCATGCTATAATTTTGTTTTTCTTCAGGGCTTAGGGCTTTTTTGTTAAAGTTTTGATTTTTAAGCTCAGTTCGTAGAGTTAGTAACAAACTAAGCGTCTCTGAGTGGTTAAGTGTTAATTAGTGAATGTCTGAATGATGAGTAATGTCCTGGAAGTACCTCAACATAGTTGTTAAGTTGTGTATCAGCTGAAATGAAGTAAAGATTAGGAATTTATTTGGACATCTAATCTATTGATGATGAGGAACTGAAGTGTCTTAATGGGAACTAAGAATTATGAGGTTTTGGGGGAGATTAGCCAAGTGACGTTTTATGTTTTGCAAAGTTAATCTCCCATATTCAAAATCCCTTTTTTTATCATTTGAATGGAGCGAGACGTAAAACTTGCTTAAAGCGAATGTAAACTGATAGAGAGTTCTTTAACCAGGTGGCATTTCTTACATGTAGATTTTCTGCAGAAGTATTTAACGGCTTACAAGAAGAAGTAACTGTAACGGCATCTAGGTGTCAGAAGTTGACAAGCCGTGTAAGACGGATAGAGTCAGCGCTGTCACCTCTTGAAAAGGCTGTTCTCTCACAGACAAGCCACATACATTTTGCATACACAGCAGGTATGGCTTTGCTCTCATCTATAGGCTTCAGGTCTTATTTTTTATTTCTATTTTGAAGGTTGACTATGTGTCTATATCTTTTTTCCTGTACCACTCTTGCTGTCTTATCCTACACCTGACTTGTGTAGAGGGATGAAAGATTTTATGAACACACAGTCTCCACAATTTGTGTGACATAACTTTTTGATCTCTTGCACAGAAAAATTCTTATTCTTTCGCTTTTGTTTCTCCTGTAGGCTCTGAGTGGCATCCTCGTATAAGGAATGGACATAGTCATTTTGTTCAGAGTGATTTACCACTGTGTGTTATGGAAAGTTATGAACAATGCAGAGATCCTCCTCCGTTGCATCTGCTTGATAGGTAAGGGACAAGCTTTTAGTTCATCCTAATATATATATTAAAAATAAAGCATTGGATCTTTATTCTGAAGTGGCTGATTTTCTTCCTCCTTGCAGATTTGCCGAAGGTGGTCCTGGATCGTGTCTGAGAAAATACTCAGACCCAACATTCTTTAGAAAGGAATTAAGCAACCCCAGTAAAACAGATGATATCAAAGTCCAGAGAGATCAGGCTCACCGCAAAAGAAAGGTTTGTTGTTACCTTTTTGGGTTAGGTTATGCTGGTCGAACCATTCTAAGAGTTTCTTTTCTGCTTATGAGCTCGTTTCGTCATCTTACAACTGTACCTCGTACCAGAATGCAGAATTGACTTATAAAAGAATCGTTTGACTTGAAAAAATATAATTCGTTAGACATCAAGTGCTATGGTTTTTTATTCTTGTGCTTTTTTGGCTGTCATCTACTGATTTTGTGACCTGATTTGTGCTTTGCTGAAATGACAGAAAAAGAGGTTACCACAAAGAAACATTTGCAGATCAAATGCAGTGTCTACATCTGACGAAACTAGTGGGTGGGTTATTTTAAAATATAGATGTAGTAGTTCTCGTCCATTGAAGTTCCATATTTGCAGTGTAGTTGATCTTGACAATTTCATATGTTAACATGAATTTCTGTGCAGGGCTCATCTCAGTAATCTTACTGATGACAGACAAACAACTTCTCAGAGTACGTCCACAGTTGACATGCCACGTAGCTCTAATATGCAAGATTTATCTGATACTGTAGACCAATCTCATCTGCAAGGGCAGTCAGATGCGCAAGAACGAAGTGAAGCACAAGTACAATCAGATTTCCAAGAGTCATCAAAAGCTCGCGATTCTATAACTGGTTCAGGTTATATCGAGTATGTCATCAATCAAAGTCCTGTTAATGAACCTGACGTGAAGCTAGTAGAAGGATTTCTGTCTGGGTCCTTACAACCTGCTGATAGAATAGGTTCAGCTGTTCCTGCAGGCTGCATTGAAGTTGTAGATGATAATATCCTATATAGCCCCTCAGAAGACCTACATGTGCCTTGTGCTTCTATTGTTTGTGATGAGAAGAAAGAAACACTTGAATCGATGGTGGAGAAAAGCAGCGAAGATGATGAACCATCAGAGATACATGAGTCAAAATTTGGCCCAGTAACACCAGACAGGGTAAGGCAAAATCAAAGGGACTTTGATAGGACGTATATTTTGTTTGATGAGGTAGATATTGTGGGAGAAAAACAAAGTAAGAGCCAGGCCAACAATATTAATGGAACACTAGGCATTGAGAACGAAGGAGAAAATAAGAGTGAACAAGAGAGTGAAGCAGATGAATTTCTGGATGCACGTAATACAATTGAATCAGAATCGGAGAGTGATATTGATGGAGTACCAAAACCGAAACTGGAGCATTACTTTGGGGATATTAGTACTTATTGTTCGGAAGATGCTAACAGTGAAAACAATGATGGATCAGAAGATATACAATATGAAGAAATGGCAAATTATCCACGCCATGAAAATTCTGAAGATGAATCTTGTTCAGGTTCTTATTTTTTTGAAGATTCAAATGTGTCATGTTGCATGTCAGATCCAGTGTGTGAGAAAACTCTGTCTCATGATGAGAATTCTCAAAAGCCATGGGAATTTTTTGCCAGCTGCCCTTCGTTATTGGCTGAAAAAGCCTTTCCGGATGTAACAATTTTGCGAGAAGAACCTGTTGCCGCACATCCCTTGTTGGCAGGAGACTGGGCTAATGAAAAGATATCATCTGAAGAACCTATTTTCCCATACCCATCTCTGAAAGATGCTATTCCTGCTGAAAAGATCTTGCCAGAAGAACATTTGGTCAACTATCCATCTCTCGCAGAAGCTATTCCCCGTGAAAAGATCTCGCCAGGAGAGTCTATTGCCAAATATCCATCTTTTGCAGAAATCGTCCCCCAAGAAAAAATCTTGTCGGAAAAGTCTCTTCCTAAAACTCCGTCTTTGGAAGAAGCTGTGCCTGACAATATGACCCCAGCAGGAGAACCTGATGCTACTCATCCATCATTTCCCGAAGCTGTTCAAGACAAGAAACTTTCACCAGAAGTTCTTGATTCGAAATTTTTTTCTGTGCCAGAAGCTGTTTCACAAGAGCCAATCTCACTTGAAGAGTTTGATGGGATATATCCATGTTTGGCTGAAGCTGTTCATGATGAAAGGTTCTTGACAGAAGAGCCTTCCACCACATGTTTGTCTTTGACAAAAGCCATCCCTATCGAAAAAGTATTGCCAGAAAAACCTTTGGAATCGTCTCAATATTTGGCAGAATTGACTAAAGAAGAGATATTGCAAGAAAAAACTGTTGATTCTACACATCCATCTTGTGCCAAAGCTGCTGCAGAAACAAATTTATCACAAGAAGTTCTTGATGCCTTAAACTTGTCTGTGACAGAAGCTGTTCCGCAAGAGAAAATCTCACTTGAAGAATTTGTTGGCATCAATCCGTGTTTGGTAGAAACGGTTCCTGATGAAAGGCTCTTGCCAGAAGAACCTGTCACCACATATCTGTCTTTGACAAAAGCTGTGGCCATTGAAAAGGTCTTGTCAGAAGAGATTTTGGAAACATATCATTCTTTGGCAGAATTGCCTGAAGAAGAGATTTCACAGGAAGAAACTGATGATGCCACACATACATCTGAAGCTGTTAGTGATGAAGGAATCTCCCCAGAAGTTTCTGATTCCACAAATTTGTCTCTTGAAAACGCTCTTCCACAAGAGCAAATCTCACTTGAAGAATTTGTTGGCATAAATCAGTGTTTGGCAGAAGCGGTTCCTGATGAAAGGTTCTTGCCAGAAAAGCCTTTCGAAACATATTCTTCTTTGGCAGAATTGCAGGAAGAAAAGATTTTGCATGAAGAAGCTGATGATGGTATGCGCCCATGTCTTTCTGAAGCTTTTACTGATGAACAAATCTCACCTAAAGTTCTTGATTACACAAATTCGCCTGTGGCAGAAGCTGTTCCACATGAACAAACCACACTTGAAGATTTTGTTGGCAGAGATCCATGTTTGGTAGAAGCTGTTCATGATAAGAGGGTTTTGCCAGAAGAACAGGTCACCTCATGTATCTATTTAACAAATGTGGTGCCTATTGAAGAAGTCTTGCCAGAAGAACCTTTAGATGTGTGTGCATCTTTGGGAAAATTGCCTAAAGATAAGATCTCACAAGAAAAATCTGATGAGGCTATTCATCCGTCTTGTGCCAAAACTGAAAGTCATGAAAATTTCTCACTGCAAGTTCTTGATTCATCAAATTTGTCTGTGGCAGAAGCTATTCCACGTGAGCAAACCACACTTGACGAATTTGTTGGCGTAGATCCGTGTTTGGGAGAAGCTGTTCTTGATGAAAGGGTTTTGCCAGAAGAAATTGACACCACATGTCTGTCTTTGACAAAAGCCCCCCCCATCAAAACAATCTTTCCGGAAGAACCTCCCGAAGTGTATCCTTCTTTGGAAGAATTGCCAGAAGAAAAGATCTCGCAAGAAAAAGAAGCTGCTCATCCATATTTTTCTGAAGCTGTTTGTGATGAGAAGATCTCACCACTGGAAGATCCTGGTTCCACACATCCATCTTTGGAAGAATCCGATACGTTCGAGGAAACCTCGCATGAAGAACTTGTTGGAACAAATCCATTTTTGGAATTAGCTGTTCCCAACGAAATGGGTTTTCCAGACGAACCTGGCGTCACATATCGGTCTGTGGCAGAAGCTGTTTCTAAGGGAAAGAACTTGCCGGAAGAACCCTTACCTACTTATCCGTCTTGGGCAGATGTTGTACCTGATGAAAAGATCTCTGGAGAAGAACTTCATTCCACAAATCCATCTTCTGCAGAAGCTGTGTTTGATGAAAATATATCAGGCTCAGAAGCTCCTGGTTGCACAACAGAAACCGGTCCACACAACAAAACCTTCCCTGAAGAACCTTTTGCCATGGATATTTCCTTAAATGAAGCAGTTTTTAAAGAAAAGATCCCAGGCTCAGAAGCTTCTTGTTCCACAACAGAAACGGTTCCACACAACAAAACCTTCCCTGAAGAACCTTTTGCCATGGAAAATTCCTTGAATGAAGCAGTTTTTGATGAAAAGATCTCAGGCTCAGAAGCTTCTAGTTCCACTACAGAAACTAATCCACACAACAAAACCTTCACTGAAGAACCTTTTGCCACGGAAAATTCCTTGAACGAAGCAGATTTTGATGAAAAGATCCCTGGTTCAGAAGCTCCTGGTTCTGCAACCGAAACTGGTCCACACAACAAATCATTCCTTGAAGAACCTGTTGCCAGAGATATTTCCTTGAACGAAGCAGTTTTTGATGAAAAGATCCCAGGCTCAGAAGCTTCTTGTTCCACAAGAGAAACTGTTCCACACAACGAAACCTTCCCTGGAGAACCTGTTGCCACGGATCTTTCCTTGGTCAAAGCTGTTTTTGATGAAAGGATCCCAGGCTCAGAAGATTCTAGTTCCTCAATAGAAACCGGTCTACACAACAAAACCTTCCCTGGAGAACCTGTTGCCACGGAGCTGTCCTTGACCGAAGCTGGTTTTGATGAAAAGATCCCCGGCTCAGGAGCTCCTAGTTCCACAACAGAAACTGGTTCACACAACAAAACTTTCTCTGAAGAACCTGTTCCCAACGAAAATATTCTGCCAAAAGAACCTGCTGCTGCATATCTGGCTTTGGCTGAAGGTATTCCTGACCAAAAAGTATTCTTGGATGATGCCGCACTTTTGTTATTTGCAGAAGCTATTTTCGATCAAAAGTTTTCACCAGAATTTCCAGATTCCACGTATCCTTCTTTAAAAGAACCAGAAATGCATGTTGCCGCACCATCTTTAGTAACAGATCTTCCTGCTAAAAACATCAAGGTAAAAGATGGTGAAGTACATAATGAACCTTACTCAGCATCTGACGTTTCTATGAACCAGAAGAGTGGTTTATTGGAACCGGAGTCTACTGAAAGAACAATTCCCTCGAGTGGTGGTACTGACACGATTTCTCCAGATACTCAGAAATCTCTTCCAAATGGTACAAGTGTTGAATCAATCAGTATATGGAGCAATGGAGGACTCCTTGGACTTGCGCCATTGAAACCTCCAGTTTTTGCTGAGCCTAATGCTGGAAGCCAACATATACAGAACGAGATCAACGAAGCTAGTGTTCTTTCGACAAGGACGCAGGAATCATCGAGCCGATCAGTTGAAACTACTGAGAAGAGCTCACTTCCATTAGTTGTTTCAGATCCCACGTCTCAACAACACAGCAACATGTCGAGGCTCTCTCCCATGCAGAGCACTGGAACATCATTCAGAGTTTTTGGCTTAAGTCATAGATTACTCATGGCTGGGTTTGGGGGAAACTCTTCTTCAACTTGCAAATTTGAATCCGTACCAAGTAGTAGCTATGTTACCGGAGTAGCATCTATCGAAGACAAGACTCAGCAAACTCCTGGTGGCTCAAGCTTTGAGGAGCAATTGGATTATGAATCATCTCTCTTTGGTTCGCCTACTTCATCACCACCGGTTGAACATATGAAAATATCATTCAACCCAATAGAAGCCTCTCCAGTTCCTAAATTGAAACTGAGAATCCCATGCCAACCTCGGTACAATGGTGAAAATGCGGATATGTTCCCTTCGTTTCAGTTGGTTCCAGAGGCTAGCAACTCTGAAGACGATGACGACAACAGTGACACCTTTTGTCAGTCATCTCCTTGTGCTTCTGACAATTGTTTGTCAGATTCTGAGCTATGGGAATCTGATGAAAGCCCTAGAAAATCCGTATCAAGCTTGAAGCAAGTTGAAGAGAGAAGTAGACATGGTGATATGGGTTCTTTTTCTGGTTCGTTTCTTGATCTTCCATGTTACGACGCTGTAGATCATCAATCCACATCTTCAAGACTAGAGCCAGAACAAGTTCCAGAATACAAACCATCTGTCTCAGAGATCATCCGTCATTGGCCACCAAACCAACCAAAAAGCAGTCCCAGTAATGAAGCAAACTTAGATGCAAACACGGTTCTGAAGAAAACGCAAGATCAATCTCTCGGGTACTTATAGTAAAACTCACTCTCCTTAATTATTTTTGCATTTGTCGTAAATCATTAACCTCATGAGACTAACAAACAAATCCTTCATTGTTAATTAGGCTAGTTGCTACAGATGACGACGGTGAAAGATAAATCGGTGATAGTGTTTGTCTTGATGAACATAAAACCAGAAGGATCTAATTGATTTTTTGTTGTACATTCCTCTCTGTCATTTCATTTTTCAGGTAAAAACAAACACTATTTATAAAATCAGAAATTTAAATTAGATAATAGTTTATTTTAATTACGGCATTTTTTTATTTTTTATTTTATCAAATTACATTTTTTTTTTTTTGTTTTGTTATATAGAAAACAAACAATAGATGACACTTAAACGACGATCTTGAAGTCGTCATTAAATTTAGAAGGTGACATCAGGAACGATTCCGAGCTCCTTAAAGGCAGCGGGACATTCAGGTGACGGCGTCTTAACCATGAAACCGAGAGGGTTAACAATACGTGTCTCGTGAGAGACGATTCCATCATTCGCGGTCAAGCTGATCTTAGCAGCGTTACGTAGGTAAGCCTCTTTGCTAACGTCACTGCAACCACTGTCTGGTGATTCGACGAGCACAAGCTCGCAAACTTCCTCCTCGTGGTCACCGGTCACTTCCATTCTGTAGCTCCCTGTTTTGTCCGTGACGGCTTCTTTTGTCAATGTTACGGTTCCGTTTGTTCTGCTCCTGCACTCTAGCTTCACTTTCGCTCCTATAGAAAACAATGTAGAAATTTGAATAACCATAGATACTAATAACATAAACAATGTGTAATGTGTAGTATATAGACGTATGAAAATGTTTACCTTCAAGGAACTTGCTGAGGCGGGTAACGAATTGGACACGGCATGTGTCACAATAAACCGATCCTTGAATTTGGAAACGGTCAAAGTCATCGGCGTCAGCGATGGCCACGCGGGCGAGAGAGGACAGGCACACGGCGGAGACAAAGAAGAAGAAGAAGATGGCTTTGGACGCCATTTGTTTCAAAATGTTAAAAGATTCTGGTCTTTTTTGATACCTCTTCTCTTTTGTAATCGTTTTCTTTGTTGAGATGTTAGAGAAGAGGACAACTATTTCACAAGAGCCACAAAGTTCGGTTTTATACAAAAAAATAAAAATAAAAACCATTTGTTATTTTTAGCTAATCAGAAAATAATCGTTCATTAGTGAGTTTGTTAATTCTTTTAATTATAGCCTCTAGTTTCCAATTGCGTGACCTATAGACTATAGTGTCCCTATTTTTTCTCTCTTTGATTTCTCTCCTAATATTAGAAAGAACAAAAAACATAAACAACTAATTTTATGTTTGAATTTAAATAACATGAAACTTAAACTTTGTTGGATTTATAACTAAAAACCTCATTAGGATAGTCAATACAATAAGGTTTAATTTGATCTTATTATCAATCTTTAGTTATCCAAGAGTTTACATCTTCTCCTTTTTTCATCCAGTTTCCATATTCAGGTTCGAGTTTGGCTCGGATTTACACTCGTCTATTCGGCTTTTATTAAGCTGGAAAGCCGGATTCACCCATGCGCCGCAGCTACATTGCATCCCAGCCCAGTTGAAATAACCTAACCGCCCGTTACATCCAAAACAAAGAAGCTTCTCTTCCACTAATCCATCATGTACTGCAAAAGTCATAGAGTGTAAAGATCATTAGAAAGAAACTGCAAAGATTCTTGTTGAGATACATAGTGACATTTTTCTATAGAGAGCAAAGAGCTTTTTAAAAGATTCTCACTTGTCTGCATCCATTTCATAGGCTCGACAAAGATCGAAGAGCATTGCACTTGTTCAGAGTTTCCGCTTCTCTTTTTCCAAGCAAAGCATTCTTCACCCTTCCCCGGTTCATGCGGTACTATGTTTTCCTCAATAGCGACTATCCTTCTACATTTCTTACATCTGTACATGACTTGTGGCTTCGGGGTAGGCTTTGGAATAGACTCTTGTAAAGAAGAATTAGTCTCTACCTCTACCTCCATTTGCAACTCAGACATAGATAGCTTCTCTTCTATCTAAATAAAAAAAAAAAAAAGAGAAATCTCAGACTAAATTCAATCTGAGTATATCCAGATAGTTGAGGATCAACATAAATCTTCAGTTTCTCGTTAAATCAAAGTGTAAGTTTTGATTTTGAAGCCACCCACAAGTCTGAAACACATCAATAATCTACAAACAAAATGATCCAATGTAATGTTGTTAATTTCAGAATCATCCTCAAAACCCTAATAAACAAAAGTTGACAGCTTTCCAACAATTGACTGGTTTCCTCCACTACATGAGTCACTAACCCTACACTGATACAACTGATTACACACACGAATATAACCAAGAGATGGCGAGATTTACCCAAAAAGTGAAAAGCAAAAATATGTTTTAGAATCAGTGGCGAACAAGAACAGTACCAACAACAGCTCAAACCACAAAAACCCTAAACGTGAAATCGATAAACTTCCACGAAAAAAGTACCAAACTTCAAGCAATCAAAAACCTCAGAATAATTCTTTTAGATATCAGAAAACACGAAAAAAAAGGAATCACCTTTGCCAGGGTTTGGTGTTGCTGCTACTGATTGATTACCTTCTTCGTGACAAATCTGTTCGGTTTAAGTTTAGAGCTAAATAAAAATCCTCAATATCCCGGTTTAACAGCTAAATCTCTCACAATAGCCCGGTTTAACAACTTGGACTGGGCCGTGGGCTAACGCAGATAAGATGAACAAAGATGAAGGAGCGAAAACACCTTTTATCAAAGTTGTGTGTTTTGTAAATTTTTAAGAAAACATTACTAATCTGCCAAATTTTCTTAACGTTTTCTTCAAACTTGTGTGTATAATTTTGTGGTCAACAATTTTGAGTGTAGTTTATACTTTAATTTAGATTTTTTTTTCTTATTGAAAGTTTTAATGTTTATATAGTTTTAGACCATTTTACAATCTAGGATCCAAATGTGATGGAATCAAAAGAAAAGCAAAGAGAACCAAACAACTAAACAAGAAACATAAGATTCATAGCCAGATACATACATAATTCAAAGATCATAAGGTTGAACCGTGAAACTAACATGAAACAAAAGAGCTTCAACACTAAAGATCAACGAGGCATATCAATAGCTCCAACCCAAAGAATCAACAAGACAAGTGCTAGCGACATTCACCCTGTGATTTAGATGAACAAGTGTCTAAACTCACCATTTGCGAGCTTACATAGTTCATTGTAGTTTTGTGCATCTGCAAACAAGCCAAGATCCAAATCAAGACACAAGAATTTGCAAACCATATAAGAAAACAATATAACTCAAAAGACACAAACAAAAGGAAGGATTTTTGCTAAGATTCATACCAAAACTATCACCAAAGTTGGTCCAAACTTCAGCTCGAATGGTGTTCTCAGTCTCAGCAATTCCAATTACCTCAATGTAAGTAGTTAAAGGCGGATTTGGTGAACCCTTAACAACAATCTGTTGATCATCAGTCGATTTACCAATCACTGATCCAATATCTGACCTAATAACTTGAATCACTGCTCTCACTTTCTGACCAATGTACCGTCTCAACAAAGCTCCATTAACAAAAGCAGCAGGACTTGATGTATCCATTATCTACAAATCAAAAGACTCTTTAGTCTTCCTCATTGAAACTAAATCAAATTCATATCATCTAAGTCAAAATCAAAGTGATTATCCTCAAATCTTGAATCAATTTGGCAGTGTCAATCCCTAATTAGCTACCAAACGAATCAAGTAGATAGATTTAGACCTAAAATATCAGAAAACTCTATATATAAGAAGATATTAATAAAGCCTTGTGCTTTAGCAGACCCGGAAGATGAATTGGGAGACGCCGGAGACAATTGCCGGTGAGGTTTCGGCGGGAAGAAAACCCTAATTTCTGGATTTACGAATGAGAATGAAGATGGAGAGGAGGAGAAATTAATAAAGTGTTAACCGAACCGGTTTGGGGAAGCTAAACCGCTAGAATTTGGTTTAATTTATGACACGTCAGTAATTTACATAATTGTACATAAATTAATTGAAAAAGGTTACAAAAAGGAAACAAAATAAAAAGATGACAAAAAAAAAAGGAAACAAAATAAAAAAAAGTAAAAACCCTATTTATATCACTAATAAGATTAAGCTAATCTCTAGTTTCGCCACCGCTAATCTCTTGTTCTTCTCTGACTGAGTTTTGATAATTCGTCGACTATCAAATTTCTGGAGATCCGATTAACGATTTTCTCTTAATCTTCGAAAAGGTAAAATCATATGATTATTTTGAGAAGTTTTATATATTCAGTAATAATTCTCCCTTTGTTTGCTATTTTTCTTTGAAGCTTTAGGTTTTGAGACTGTTTATATGATTACGGAAAATTAGGGTTTGCGTTATATTTCTTGCGGAGTAATTTTCCTGTAAATTGCTGTTTCGAACGATCTGAATTTTCATGGTTTTCGCCGATTTGGTAAACAAAGATGATAGGTGGAAATTTCATAATCTTTTAGGGTTCTTCGTTATCTCTTCTTAGTCCGGTTAGCATAATTTGTCAAATCTTCTTAGATTTGGGCTGATCTCTCTGGTTCTCATAAATATTGTTACAATTGCTTCACCTGATGATGAATCTAAACAGGTACCGTTTTTGAATCAGGACATGGCAACATTGGCACCAGGTCATGCTGTTTCGTATTCTTGGAAGAGGGGAGGCTGCAATGGTAAGCTCACTTGTCACGGTTTGGTCTTTTTTAACAATCTGATATTATCCTTTAGGTTCCTTCTGTTTCATGTTCTGAGTTTTTGATCCGGAAATTTTGTGTCTTGATTGATTTTTTGTCAGGAGTTCCTTTACCATATTTGATCCGACCTCGTAGGATATTCCCCCCTATTGATACGTTTCCCTTCTACAACGATTATTCCTCTGACGATGATGATGAAGGTGACTCATCAATGAATGTTGTTGAATCCTCCACTTTGGACGACAAAGGTAATTGCTTTGGCCTTGTAAATGCAAGTTTATCTTGAATGGGTAGCTAAATCCTTTATTTGTCTCATTCTTTGTCGATTTGGTTTATCGATATGTAATGTCTTTGATAATTTCTGGCAGATGTATCGGCAGGTCATTCAGATGACGAATATGTAGTCGTTGACAAAGCTGAAGCTATTATGACCAATTCTAAAACAGAGAAACCAGGAGCGATTCAAATGGTGCGTATTCTAGTTTCTCATAACTTTTGGCATGTCTTTCTAACTATAATCTTTCTTCTGTTTAAATTTTCCTAACAAATACTTCCTTTTGTTTTCAGATGGAACTCTCAAAGGATACAGTTGGTGATGAGGAGTCTGAAGCCAAAGATGCTGGATACAGCAGTGATGAGTGGGTGGTTGTGTAATTAGGAGGTGCAACCGGAGTTTCAGTGTTCGAGTTTGGGGTTTTAGGAGGTTTTAGGACAATGCAATTAGTTTACTTTTGTCTCTTTGAGATATTTCTTATCCCTTGACATTTTGTGAAGCTTTTTATCAGTACATATGATAAGATGGTTTTCCTTTGAATATCAACTGTTTTTATCCTTTTTCAGCAAGAAGAGAACGTATATTCACAAGAGTTATAGGTCTTTTAAGACGAGTAAAAAAAAAACAAATTAAATAGAGAAAATGACAACAAATACCAGTGAGGTGGATCATATGGAAGCTAAGATTGCTTCTTTAACAAGGGGTAGATCGAAAACAAAGTTTATGTTGATGTGTTTGGCTTTGACACTGAACATGACATGATCTTGCTTTATCTCTTAGCTCTTGAAATGCCTTCATTGTCTCTGCATCAAATCCTCCGGCAAACTGAACAAAAACAAAACCGACTTTAAGACTTTTATAATGTTGTAGCAGGACCAAATCGAAATCAAGGTCTTTTAATTTTACCTGATGAACACGGAATGCGAATCGAACCCCTTGAACAATTAGCTCTTCCTCTTCAGGGCCACCACCTTCAATAGCCTCAAGCTCCGCGGATACTCTCTTCATATACTTCATCGCTAGTTTCACGGATGCCAGTTTAATCTGAAATCACATTCATAACACTACACTTAATTCAAATCTTTCATATCTTACCAAATTACCAAGTTCCTCAAAACATATAAGATTTACATGACTAAGTTAAGTTGCAGATACCCAAATTGAGCAACACTACACTTAACATTAAGACTCAAAGAGTGACAATGAAGGCATAAAAAGTCTTAAGAGAATCTGATTCCATTCCCTATTGATTTGTCTCTTATAATCCCAAAGCAACAACAAAAGAAATAGACAAGAAGATACAACAGAGGAAATCTTGAAATTCACAGGCGTGCACATAGAAAAACCCCACAAAACATTAAAGTAAACAATGTATTCAAGTTTACTTTTGCTAAACATTTGTATTTATCTGAATTTGTCATCTAGTACATAATAGTTTTAACCATGTAAACAAGCAAAACAAATAATACAGTGAAGAACAGTATTAGTATAAAATTGTCCTGCCATCAACAATTGACTTTTATCATAAAATTGGGGACCATGAGAATTGTTGTTCTTGTCTACCCCTATATGTTTTCTATATTCCAAAATGAATTTTTTCATCCAATCAAAATGCAATTATTGCACCAAAAAATGGGAACTAAGTATTCATCATAATAAAAACCATTAAACAGAAACAATATTGAAATCTAGCAAGAAACACAAAACAAGGATCACTAATGTAAATCTCGAGATAAATTATGTTGCTGACCTGGCTGGTTATACCGGTTTCGAGCATCCAATCAACCGGAATCTGGAAACTCTTGAATTTTGTCGCCGCCGATTCTTTCATCCTCGATAAACTATAAACACCATGCTCTAACCTTTAAAATCAACAAAGGAATCTTGATTAGTTATCTAAAGAATTTGAATTTGAAATGAATCAAAGAATGGATTTTTATATTTACTTTTCAAATAAAGCTTGCATTTTTTTAAGAGCAGAGCTAGAAGATTGACGTGGATCTTCCCGGAAACGAGAAGCTTCTGATATGAGTTTCTTCAGATCGAAATAACAAAACGCTGCTTCACGTAAAGCATCAGCTTTTTGCTCCGGCCATTCGAAATGTTTCAACACTGCTCTCTCATCAACCTTTCAAAAATACAAACTTTAAATTGAATAATCCCAGAAATTTGGTTTTAAATTTTGGGAAATTTTGAAAGTTTTCATTCATACCAGGTAAGAGAGTTCGTCGTCGAGCCATTTGACGAAAGGAACAACGTCTTCAATATCTGAAAACGCTGCGTTTTCGACTTCTTTGATCAAGAACCTTATGAAATCACCTTGCGTTTCTACGTCGGTTTTTATCTGCAATTTTTGGTTTAAGGTTAAGCCAAACCGGTTTATGATTTTAAATTTTGAAAGTTACTTGGAAAAGGACGAGGAAAAAGTGGAATGACTGGTCAATTCTCACTGACGCAAGAAAGTCAGAGAAACTAAACTGAAATTTACTAAGCCGGTTAAAGAGAATTTTTACCGCGAGGAGATAAACCGATCGGTTTTCGATTTCTCCGATCATATCTCTGGCATTGGAGCTAGCAAGTATTGCCTCCGCGGCGGCGTTTCCACCGCCGGTGGAATCTCTTCTCGAGTTTGTGGAATCTCTTCGCATCAATGAGTGATAAAACTCCACAACTTCCGGTACTCTTCTTACTTTCGCCGACGCAATGCTTAAACTCTTCGGCGGTGGCGGTGGAGGAGGCGGAGGAGGAGCTTTGGAAACAGGTGGTGGTGGTTGAAGAAGCGGTGGTGGAGGTGGAGGAGGAGGCGGAATCGATTTCTGCGGCGGCGGATCTGCTCTGTTCTCCGGGGAATCACCTAATGAAAAAGACCGTTTAGGCGGTGGTTTAGGTACTCTCGGAACTCTAGATCTGACGGCTGAGAGTGATGGTGACTCAGTGAGTTCCTCCGAGTTATTACTCCGTGAATAACGCTCGATCTCGTCTTTCCGATAAATGTCGCCGTCAGCGTCTCCGGATGATGAAATGCCCTTGTTGTTCTCTTGATTCGGACTCGGGTCGGGTATATTCCTCAACGACCCGACCCGTTTTAAACTTCTGATTAGATTCGATTTCGCCGACACATCCATTAAACCCTGAAACCTCTGAGAAACAGAGAGCGCGTGATCGTCACTCTCCGACGAAACAAGTTTCCGAAGCTCCAACATCTCCGCCTCCATTTCCTTCTCCCTCCTGTCGCTCTCTCTTCTCATTTCCTCGCTTTCTCGTCGTAATCTCTCGTTCTCCTCCGCTAACCTCGCCGTCTCCTTCCTAAACTCCTCGATTTCGCCGTTCTTCTCCGCGATCTGCGATTCAAGTAACGGAATAACAGAAACAGATTCTCTAAGAAGCTTAACCTCGAGATTCTCTGTTTTCAACAGAGCTTCTCTCTCACGAAGCTCCTCGACTTGACGACGAAGCTCAGAAACGACGCCGTTATGAGAAGCAGCAGCAGCAGTAGCGTGAACTTGAGCGGAAGCGCGTGGGAAATAAACACCGAAAGAGCGAGTGAAACCCGGTTTACTAGGATTAATCGGCGGTTTAGTAGTAGTAGCAGAACCGGAAGAAGGCGGTTTAAGAGGAGGAGGAGGAGGAGGAGGAGGAAGAGGTAAAGGAGAAGGCATATCTTTGGTTTTTTTAGTAGAAGGTGATTTGTGAAAACCCATTGTTACACGAACCTTACCAGCCACCATTGATGGATGATGAATGATAAAAAGCTCCAAAATTTTGATTGATTTTCAAAAATGATGACTAGTTGAGAAGAAAGGAGGGATTTGCATGGAAATTAAAAGCATGTCGTTGTCCGTGCAGTTCTTGAGAGAAAGAGAGAGAGAGAGAGAGAGAGTGATAGTGATGATTCAAAGTTTGGGCCTTTG